GGCACCGCCCGCCCGGTGCCAAGCCCCGCCTGCCGCCGCCGCCGCCCCGTTAAGAGCCGCCCGGCCGGCGCCGCCTTGCCCCGCCATGCCGCCGCCCGCCCCGCTCCGCCTCTGCCTGTGCGCGGCCGCCGCCGCCGCTGCGGCCCTCGTGCTCCGCGGCGATTACCGCCTGGCCGGGCTGTTCCCGCTGCACATCGCCGGGCCCCGCACCGACGCCAGCCCGCTGGCTCGCGGCTGCGATGAGTGAGTGCCCGCGCCGCCCGCTCCCCCAGCCGCGGTCTGTCCTCCCTAATAACCGCTCTCGGTTCCGCAGCAATGCCGTCTTCAAGAGCCACGGTTACTGCCTGTCCCAGGCCCTGCGATTCACCATAGAGGAGATCAACAACTCCAGCACGCTGCTCCCGAACGTCACTCTGGGCTACGACATCCACGACACCTGCTCTGAGCCCGCCAACCTCCACGCCACCCTGAGTGCCCTCATCCGCAAAGGCAGGCAGGATGTCCAGCTGCTCCCCACCTTACAACACTATGAGCCCCAGGCTGTTGCTGTCATTGGCCCCGACAGCACACAGCTGGCCCTCACCACAGCTGCCATCCTCGGCATCTTCCTCGTACCAGAGGTAAGTCCAGCTCCTGCAGCTGATGAAGACTAGGGATCCTGAGCAGTGAGGGTTTGAGAGAGGGTGGACTCAGAGCTGAGGAGGCTGCTAGAGCTGGAAACGCAGCCCCTCTGTGTGGGCTGGCTGGGGTCCCTTCCCAGCCCCTATCTGGGGGCAGGCAGGAATCACAGTTGGCTCACCATCCATCACAGTCTTTTCCTGCCACAGCGCACTCAGTGCTGGCTCCACTGCCTGCCCAGCTCTGAGTCTCCCCAGGACAGGCTGCCCATGCCATTAGCTCTCAGGGATGCCACTGCCTGGGGCAGTACCTCCCCCTTTCTCCTGGGTCACTTTACAGATCAGCTATGAAGCCTCTGTGGAGACGCTGAGCGTGAAGCGGCTGTACCCGTCGTTCCTGCGCACCATCCCCAGTGACAGGCAGCAGGTGAAAGCTATTTTCCTGCTGCTGCAGCACTTTGGCTGGACCTGGGTGGCACTGCTGGGCAGCGACAACACCTATGGTAGGGGTGGCCTGGATGCCCTGCAGAAGTTGCTGAGCGCAAGTGACGTGTGCGTGGCCTACCGAGGCACCATTCCTGTCAACTCAGACACCAGCAACCCTGAGCTCCACAACGTGGTCCGACTCCTCACAGACATCAAGGTCAATGTCACCATCGTCTTCTCCAACAGCCAAAGCGCCCGCCCATTCTTTGAGGTGGTGGTCCAGAAGAACATCACAGGCATGGTGTGGGTGGGCTCTGAAGACTGGCTGTTGTCTAAAACCGTCTGGCAGGTGCCTGGCATCCAGACCATTGGCACGGTGATTGGGATGACAGTTGAAAACCCAGAGTCTGTGATGCTGGAACGCTTTGAAAGTTGGAAGATGATGGAGGAAGGTGCTGCGGCCAAGTGTGCCGGCACTGCAGAGGCAGGTGGGGAATCCGGGGGGAGCTGCACCCAGCACTACACCAGCTGCCGCTCCCTCACTGCTGCCCCCAACGTGTTCGACGCTCAAGCCTCCTTCAACGTGTACTCGGCCGTGTACGCTGTGGCCCACGGCCTCCACAACCTGCTGGGCTGTGCCTCGGGGGCTTGCAGCAAAGGCACCATCTATCCCTGGCAGGTAAGAGCAATATGAGGAAGGATCTTCCTTGTGGAAGAGGATCCCTGAGGATCTTTTCCCACAGGGAAGGATTTTCCCATTGTGCTCAGGCCTCACAGAGACCTGGATGGGACTTCCTGCAGATGATGGGGATTTGGAGAGCAGAGGCAGCACAGAGGAGGGATCCTCCAGCACATCTCCCTCCCAATGGCAGGAGTCTCAACTTTGGAAGGGCTCCTCTCACTCTTTTGTTTTACAGCTCCTACAAAAGATCAGGCAGGTAAACTTCACCCTGTACAAGAGCCGAGTCTCTTTTGATGCCAGCGGGGATATTTGTAAAGGCTACGACATCGTCATGTGGAACTGGAGTGGCTCAAGCTGGGCTTCTGATGTGATAGGAACCTTCCGTGTCAACCCTGACAGGCTGAGCATCGACCCAGGCAAAGTCCTGTGGCACACAAAAGATAACCAGGTACTGTTCTGCACTCAGGTCTTATTTATTCCTCACTACTGAGCTGGCTGTGTCCCAATGCCAGCTATTATGGGGCGTTTCCTCATAGCAGGGCAAAACTGAGGGTGGACAGAGGTGGTGTGGGGGGTGTCAGAGTGCTGCTGGGCCCAAGCTGTGCTGCTACCCACCCTGCTCACAGGCTGACCCTGTCTGCACTGCCGGCAGGCTCCCACCGCGCTGTGCTCCAAGGCCTGTCAGCCGGGGGAGTGGCGGCTGCAGCAGAACCGCCACCGGTGCTGCTTTAACTGTGTGGCCTGTCCGTTGGGAACCTTCCTGAACAGATCAGGTTAGTACACCCTGGGGGCTGCTCCCACCACTTCCTTGCCTGCCTGCATCCTGCCTCCTGCTCCCTTCTCCCCGTTCCCAGCCTCTTCTCTCCTGTGGTCAGTAAAGCCTGAGCTGACCTGATGGCAGTGGTCTGGCTCTGATTTGCTCACTGGTGGGTATGCAAAGCCTACGTCCTGCACTTTCCAGGGAGTGTTGCCCACAGGTGAGCCCACCTGAGCAAACACAGCCCCTTCTCCTGTGGCCAGGGGACAGGCATGTCCAGCCCAGCAGCTGTTCCCTGCACCGCATCCTCTGCCAGGGAAATTCGATGCAGTGGTTGCCTTTGTGCCCCAGATGGCACCTGGGGCTTCCACACCATGCGGTCACCAGCAGCTGGCATATGGAAATGTGCCCTGCCTCAGACAGACAGCAGCAGTGTCCTGCCTCAGAGTAACCAGCCACAATGACAACCCTCTTCCTGGCAGCTGGTTCCCTGGCACCCTCAGCCCGCTCTTGGGCTACGGGGTGGGGAGGGGCAGCTCTGAGAACAACGGGAGTGAGGTCCTGTCCCATTCAAGGGGGCTGCTGCAGACCCTTCCCAGGTTACTGCTGGATGCATGGGCCCCCTCTCATCCACAGCCCTGAGCCTAACCCAGCCGAGGTCCTGCAGGCCCCACACCTCAGCCGAAGCCACAGACTTTGGGGAATTCCATGGGTGGAACTCTGGGTGTGGGGGGTCTTTTGGAAAAAGAGCCCCCTCTGCTCCCCAAGGCCTGGGAGTGCCTGTGGGAATGAGCAGAACATGAGAGGTGGGCAGAGCCTGGGGGGGCTGCAGGCTGGGCTGTGGCAGAGCTCTTACGGGGTCCAAGGTATGCAAGGTGCCCATGTCCTCTGCAGACCCCTACAGGTGCCAGGACTGCAGGTTGGACGAGTGGGCCCCAGCAGGGAGCGAGGCCTGTTTCAACCGTGTTGTCGAGTTCCTGTCCTGGTCCGAGCCCCTCTCCTGGGTGCTGCTGACCCTGGCTGTGCTCCTCATGCTGCTCATGGTGGCACTGGCTGTCCTCTTTGCCCTCAATGCCTCCACACCCGTGGTCAAGTCTGCAGGCGGGAAGATGTGCTTCATCATGCTGGGGGCCCTGGCCTGCACCTGCAGCAGCCTCTTCTGCTACTTTGGGGAGCCCACAAGGCTGGCGTGCCTGCTGCGGGTGCCACTCTTTTCCGTCAGCTTCACCGTGTTCCTCTCGTGCGTGGCGACCCGCTCCTTCCAGATCCTCTGCATCTTCAAGCTGAACGCGCGCTGCCCGGCGCTCTACGAGGCCTGGCTGCGGCGCCAGGGCCCGCTGCTGTTTGTGGCCGGCAGCACGGCGGCGCAGGCCTTGCTGTGCTTGGCCGCCGAGGTCACCAGCCCCTCGGTGCCGCTCCGGGACTACGACGCGCAGCCCGACCGGGTGGTGCTGGAGTGCGCCCCGAGCGCCGCGGCCGCCGCCACCACCGCCTACACGGTGCTGCTCAGCGTGGGCTGCTTCGCGCTCAGCTACGCGGGCACGGACCTGCCCGCCGGCTACAACGAGGCCAAGGGCCTGACAGTGAGCCTGCTGCTGCACCTGGGCTTCTCGGCCGCCGTGCTCTGCTCGCAGGGCGCGCTGCGCGGCCGGGCCGAGGCGGCGGCGAAGGTGCTCGGGGCGCTGGGCACGCTCGGGGCGCTGCTGGGCGGGTACTTCGTGCCGCGGGCCTTCGTCATCCTGCTGCGGCCGCAGCAGAACACGGCCGAGCACTTCCAGATGGCCATACAGGCGTACACGCGCCGCTGGGCCGCCGCCTGAGCTGCGGGCACCGGCCCGGGGCCGCGGGGCTCGACTCGCCCCGCCCCGCCCCGCCCCGCACACCCCCCCCGGCCCGGCCCCAGCCCCGCACACCCAGACAGACAGACACACACACACACAGACACAGAGGCACGCGCGTCACTGCCGGCGCTCGGTGACGCCACGTCCGGCGGTGCCGGTGCCGGCCCCGGGCGCGGCCATGGCGGCGGCGGCGGCGCACAGCGTGCGGGTGCTGCGGGAGCTGAACCGGCAGCGCGCGGCCGGGCAGTTCTGCGACGCGACGCTCGGCGTGGGCGGCCGCGAGTTCCGCGCGCACTGGCCGGTCCTCGCCAGCTGCTCCCGCTTCTTCCGCGCGCGCGGCCCCGGCGGGCCCGTGGCGCTGCCCGACGGCCTCGCCGACACCTTCCAGCTGCTGCTCGACTTCTTCTACACCGGGCGCCTGGCGCTCACGGCGCACAACCGCGCCCGCCTGCTGGCGGCCGCCGAGCAGCTCGGCGTGCCCGACGCCGT